ATTTGGTTTTTTGTGGAATTTTTGAGGTTTCTGAGGAATTATTGGGGATTTTTCTTTGGAATTTTTGGGGGGTTTTTTTTGTGGAATTATTGGGGATTTTTCTCTGGAATTATTGGGGTTTATGTGGAATTTTGGGGTTTTTTTTGTGGAATTTTTGAGGTTTCTGAGGAATTTTTGGGTTGTTTTTGTGGAATTTTGGGGTTTTTTTTGTGGAAGTTTGGGTTTTTTTTTTCTGGAATTATTGGGGGTTTTTCTCTGGAATTATTGAGGATTTTTCTCTGGAATTTTGGGGATTTTTCTCTGGAATTATTGGGGATTTTTCTTTGGAATTATTGGGAATTTTGGTTGAATTATTGGGGATTTTTGTGCAATTTTTGGGTTTTTTGTGGAATTGTTGGGTTGTTTTTCATGGAAATATTTGTTTTTTTGTGAAATTTTGGGGCTTTTTTGTGGAATTTTTGGGGTTTTTTTTTGTGGAATTCTTGTTTTTTTTCCCAAACAATTTGTGCAATTTTTGGGTTTTTTGTGGAATTATTGGGTTGTTTTTTTGAATTATTGGGGTTTTTCATGGAAATATTTGTTTTTTTGTGAAATTTTGGGGCTTTTTTGTGGAATTTTTGGGGTTTTTTTTTGTGGAATTCTTGTTTTTTTTCCCACACAACTGCAGGATTTTAACAAAACCTTCCCGTAACTGAATTTTTTCCCACAGAATTCCTGAGTTTTGAGGGAACTCCTCCAGGTTTTCCCACGGTGGGATTGTGGGGTGGGGGTGGATATTCCAGGAATCCGTGAAATTCCGGGAGGAAATTCCATCTTTTCCCTCCCTCAGGAAGGAAAATGGGAAGCGGAGACGGTGATCCAGGTGCCCAACAAGAAAGTCCAAGGATGGCTCCTCCCAGAAATGCCAGGTGAGAAATTTGGGAAAAATCTGGGAATTTTCTCATGGATCCAAAGCGGGATTTTGGTGGAATTTTGATCCTTAAATGGCAAAAAAATAAATCCAAATTTTTGAGGGTTTTTTGGGGTTTTTTTTTAAGGGAGAATTTTGGGATGAGCAAAGGAGAGGGGTGTGCTCCCTGCTTGGGGTGGGATTTTCCAGGAAAATCCTTGGAATTTGGGTCTGGATGGGCTCAGGAATGATCCTGGGAATGCTGGAAGGGCCCCAATGTGAATTCTCCATAAAAATCCTTGGAATTTGGGTCTGGATGGGCTCAGGAATGCGCCTGGGAATGCTGGAAGGGCCCCAATGTGAATTCGCCATAAAAATCCTTGGAATTTGGGTCTGGATGGGCTCAGGAATGCGCCTGGGAATGCTGGAAGGGCCCCAATGTGAATTCGCCATAAAAATCCTTGGAATTTGGGTCTGGATGGGCTCAGGAATGCGCCTGGGAATGCTGGAAGGGCCCCAATGTGAATTCGCCATAAAAATCCTTGGAATTTGGGTCTGGATGGGCTCAGGAATGCGCCTGGGAATGCTGGAAGGGCCCCAATGTGAATTCGCCATAAAAATCCTTGGAATTTGGGTCTGGATGGGCTCAGGAATGCGCCTGGGAATGCTGGAAGGGCCCCAATGTGAATTCGCCATAAAAATCCTTGGAATTTGGGTCTGGATGGGCTCAGGAATGCGCCTGGGAATGCTGGAAGGGCCCCAATGTGAATTCGCCATAAAAATCCTTGGAATTTGGGTCTGGATGGGCTCAGGAATGCGCCTGGGAATGCTGGAAGGGCCCCAATGTGAATTCGCCATAAAAATCCTTGGAATTTGGGTCTGGATGGGCTCAGGAATGCGCCTGGGAATGCTGGAAGGGCCCCAATGTGAATTCGCCATAAAAATCCTTGGAATTTGGGTCTGGATGGGCTCAGGAATGCGCCTGGGAATGCTGGAAGGGCCCCAATGTGAATTCGCCATAAAAATCCTTGGAATTTGGGTCTGAATTGACTCAATCCTTGATTTCTCCACAAAAAATCCTGGAATTTGGGTCTGAATTCCCTCAGGAATCCTGGAATCATTCCCGAGGTCGATTTTATTCCCCCCACCTCCTTTCCAATCCCTTTTTTTTGCCGTTTCCGCCTGGGAATTCGGGGTTTTTTGGGATTCTCCCTCCTCCCATTCCCTGATTTTCCTCTGGAATTTCCTCTGGAAGGGCTGATCACGGATATCCTGATTTCCCTGGACGACCGATTCCTGTATTTCAGCAACTGGATCCACGGCGACGTGCGCCAGTACGACATCTCCGACCCCAAAAATCCCAAACTGGTGGGGCAGGTCAGGAAAAAATATTCCCAAAAGATTCCCCAAAAAAATTCCCAAATATTCCCCAAAAATTCCCAAATATTCCCCAAAAATTCTCAAAAAATTCCCCCCAAAATTCCCCAAATATTCCCCAAATATTCCCCCAAAAATTCTCAAAAAATCCCAAAAAGTTCCCCAAATATTCCCGCAAAAAATTCCCCAAAAAATTCCCCAAAAATTCCCCCAAAAAATTCCCCCAAAAAATTCCCAAAAAATTCCCCCAAAAATTCCCAAATATTCCCCAAATATTCCCCAAAAAATTCCCCAAAAATCCCCCCAAAAAATCCCAAATATTCCCCAAAAATTCCCCAAAATAATTCCTAAAAATTCCCCAAAAAATTCCCCAAAAAATTCCCCAAAAATTCCCCCAAAAAATTCCCCCAAAAAATTCCCAAAAAATTCCCCCAAAAATTCCCAAATATTCCCCAAATATTCCCCAAAAAATTCCCCAAAAATCCCCCCAAAAAATCCCAAATATTCCCCAAAAATTCCCCAAAATATTTCCTAAAAATTCCCCAAAAATTCCCCAAAAAATTCCCCAAAAATTCCCCAAAAAATTCCCAAAAAATTCCCAAAAAGTCCCCAAATATTCCCAAAAAAAATTCCCAAAAAATTCCCAAAAATTCCCTAAATTCCCAACCCAATTCCCATGTTTTTGCCCGGGATTAATTTGATTTTTCCCAGGTTTTTCTGGGAGGCAGCATCTGCAAAGGGGGAGCAGTGACGGTGCTGGAAGATCGGGAATTGCGGGAACAGCCGGAGCCCTTCGTGATCCAGGTGATTCCCAAATATTTTTTTCCCGTGATTTTTCCCAGATTTTGGGGAATTTTTTATTCCCCACATCCAAAGATTGTTCCAGCCTGGATTTTCCTCGCTTAGGGATGAGTTTCATCCCGAAAAAAATCTGAATTTTCCCTCAGGGAGGGGAAAACAAAATCATTTTCCAGGTGGGATTTTCCATGTGGGATGATTTATTTCCCAGTGGGATGATTTATTTCCATGAGGGATGATTTATTTCCCAGTGGGATGATTTATTTCCATGAGGGATGATTTATTTCCATGAGGGATGATTTATTTCCATGAGGGATGATTTATTTCC